AAATGAAAATATAAATCACATGATTAATATAAAATTCTAATCATTACTAGCAATGTCATCTACTTCATTATTGATTATGCTAGAAGAGTCGGGAAACTCTGAAGAGTTAATATTATGTACTTGCGACAGAACACTGTCAAGGATATCATATGCAGAAGTCTTGTTATAGGCAAACCATTCCACACCATCAACATGACATTTTATTCGACATGGAAGTTCATTGTCTAAAATTATAAAGTTCATTTAAAATGTCAATTTTTAATAAATAAAACATATATAATTAAATTAATTACACTCACCGTTAATACTATCATTGGTGTTTTCATGAATTTTAAATTCTTCACGAACAGACCATAACCAATACTGACAGGTTATATATCCTTTCAAAACAGAAAAGGATTGATTTGTAGAATAGTATTTTAAGTTTTTGAATAAAATTCGACCAGCAAGAGGAGCAAATTGGATCGATCCTAAAAATAGAATATTTAATTACTAAGTAATTACTAAGACTTTAAGAAAATGATTATTATAAAATAAAGCATACCTATTTCGATATAAGTATTATATTTTCTCCAGGTATATATTCGAATTAAATGTGATAGAAGGGATGCTATTATCCGATTAAAATAAAATAAAAGAAATAACACCACAAAAGCAATGACCAGGCAATAGGCCAAGAAGAACTTCCTAGAATAAAAGACATTTATATATAGTTGAGGTTTTTTTTTTATTTCTAAGAAAATAGCGAAAATTATGATATTACCATTCAGTTGCCATTCCAAAAATATATATAAATTTGGCGTTAAAAAATGGTTGAAAATCTGCTTATATATGTATTCGGTGATCCATGAAATGCAAGGTTATATTTCGCATGACGTTTCACAACTTGTTTACAGCGCGATTGGATACTTTGGCAAAAAAGGTGACTGTGTCTATCTATAGGCTTACTACTTAACACTATAGTTGCTTTATCTCTACTGTAATTTAACTTATCCTAAATTTCTATGATAAAAATTACTATAAAAATATATATGGTGTTGTGCACCACTAGAATGAATGAAATGTTTAAAACTTTTAAATGTATCATATATTATATATTAAATATTCTAGTAATTTTCTTGTTGTTTTCATTCTCTTAATAACTTGGAATTATTTTTACGTATAAATGTTTGGGGTTGAGTTCAATTAACGCATAAGAAACGGTAAAGTCAGAGTGATACATAAAGCTTCATATCTCTTATGTTAATAAGTGTTGTCCGTTGTGACCTGGGAGAGCTTTCGTTATTAAACACAGAACTACCTCTTATAAGTTCGGTATAACTAATTTACGGATATGTTAGACGGTTGATAACAAATACCATGTTTATGCTTAAGTAAAATATGCGGTTTATTGCAATTATGCTTTAAGAGAATTATGGTGATTTGCAGTTACGAAAGAGGCAAACGGTTAAATGTATATGAAGATGTAAATAATTTA